GTAATTTGTATAGTCGACCCAAAGGTATATGGGATAGAGTAATTTTGGTTTCAACACCAGACAATTTATTTGAGAAATGTTTCATTTATTATTAGGGGCAACCGCTGGTCAAGATTTTGTAGACTCATGTTTCTTTCAGAACATCGAAATTAGTGGAATACATAAGTCGTTTAAATTAGTGTAGAAGTTTGTTCCTGTAATTTGAATGCAAGCATTCAGAACGTTAAAATTAGTGGTAGTAACTTTCAATTAGAGGAAAAAGTTAACAAACTTTTAATTTTTACCACTAATTATACTTCAACATTTGCGAGTAATGTCATTTTGACCTTTGATTATCATCCGTCTATACCATCCTACTACTAGCGTATAGCATATAGCTATATACAGGGTATCCCAATATTGTGAAAAAATCTGAAAAAAATGTGATTATTTTTTTAAGTTTGATACCCTCTAGCGGACAAACAAAGCACTTTTGTATAAAATTAAATTGTGTCCAATGAACTTATTTTGATTCCAAAAATACGTAGTAGTTCTATATCTACGGAATATTGTGACACCCTGTATATGGTTACAAGTGTACTGCAAACTAGTGCTAGGATATTCTATTAATTTTAATTGTATTTTTTAGACATTGTGACTGAACGTGAGCTAAAGTATAATTGCAACTTTTTTTTTTATTATTTAGTCCACTAATTTGGAGGTTCTGAATGAAGCTTTACATTCTATTTTTGCTAACAATTCCACATATGTCCCTAATACTTCCTTTACATTATTTTTACTTCCCTCTACCCTCTTAATACTTACATCTTTAATAATTCCTCATATATCCTCCATATTTTCTTATATAGCTTCAATATTTCCTTGTACATCCTCGCACATTATTAATATCATGTAGAAAAATTCGTGGGTATGAGGAACAAATGTGGCCAAGTTTGGTTGCGGACACAGGATATTTCCTTTATTAGTAAAGATTGAGAGTGTTGCCCAATATATTTCGTAGAATATTTCCAAAATAATGACTTCGACACCACATTTAATTTTTTTTTGGTCTTAAACATATTATTTTCGAATTCCATCTGAGACATTTTGTTTAGTTTAAGACAATATAGCAACGTTGTCTGCCAACCTATATTTAAAGAAGCCGTTTTTATCACATACCGCAATAATAGCGGTTGTCATATTGTAGATATTTTTAAACTTAGATTGTTGTCTTTATCAACATCTACAATATGACAACCGTTTATCAAACATACCAATGACATCGTCCTCAACTGACGTGACGACTTACGCAAGACTAAACTCAGCTGTGTGACGAGTTAAGTGAAAACATTGTGTGCATTTACAAAAATAAAAATAATGTCTATACAAGAAGATATTATATTTAATAACTTGCTGATCCAGCTAACTTTGTACCGCTTAATAGTTAAGTGAAGTGAGAGTTTTTTTTTTCAATCTGATGACTGACTGACCAAGTGATAATTTTTGAAACCAGTCTTTATATATATTTCTGTTTACTATAGTCCATATATTTCTGTTTACATTTCGATAAGTATTTTCGATGTATTTCAATATCTTTGTAAAATTGAATATGCTAGTTACCCACGAATTTCTCTTGAACTTCTATTCTATAATGTCACAGATTTGCAGTGAACATTGATTATTACAAATAGGTTACTTCTATAACTTATGCTTGACATGAGCTGCCAAGTTCAAAAGATGGTGGAGTTCCAATCCCAATTTATTAAAAAATAAAAAAAATTCTATATATTTTTTTCGTTAAATTTTCCTATATTTTAATAGCTTTCTGCTATTCTGGACGAATCCAACAAATCAGAGATTATTAAAATCGATGCAGCTGATTTTGATGTATAAATGATTTACCTAACCCGACTTCGTTTATGTTATTTATATTCAGCATTGTTTACCTATTGTTTGATTGACTAAGTTCTACACTATTTTTGGGTACCCATACATTCCTTTGAAAGCCGCCTACCCCCTATATGGTTGGTTTTACTATACACCCGAACTTCAACAGGAGGTATTTAGTAATAGCGATATCTTTTAGTGCGAACGATACTGAAAGAAAAGTATCGAAGTACCGGAACTGCTGTAAAACTATACCGCAACGGAAATGGGATTGTATTTTCTGTTTCGATGATTTGCGCCCTTATATTTACCGATCCGTTATTAAGTTACACCAGTTTAAAAATGCTACAGGATAAGTCAACACCGATAATAAATATCCACTATATTGGATTTCTAAATGACGCAATGGTTTTAGTTTCAATAATTTAGATATATCTGTTTTATATAGGAAACGAGTATTATTGATGATTAATTTCGATTAAGATAAGGCTCAAAATTTTATATTTATGCTAATAATTTGAAACTTAATGTATGTATTTAAGCAATATCATAAAGAGATTGACATATATAATTTAAAAATATTTTGCACTATAGTGGGGGGAGTGTTGGGCATTATGATTCTTTTTAGTGAATCGAATCACGAAATTCAATTTCTGTTAAAGAATAAACTCTTACGATTCGTTCATTTGAATAAACTACAACAAATTTTGTATAAATAGATTTTTTTGTAAATAGTGTTCACATCGCTTGCATTTTATATCCATTATGTTCTTTAAGGATTAAATACGCATTCTTCATAATTATGAAGACGGCAATAAATTATATTTTATTTTATTACTAACATATAAAATTGGTTTTATAGAACAAGGTTTTATTACAAAGACAATAATTACTTTTTTATTTATATCATTGCTATTACCTGTATTACAAATATTTGGGAACCCAAGCTCAGTATATAATTCTAATATTTAATATTTAAACGAACCGTATTGTAAGCAATGAATTAATTCTCACGATTCTCATTGAACAAACGAGTCGCATTGTCACAGCATTGTGATCTGATTCAACTCTTAACACTCTTTTTTATGACTCGTTCATTCAAATTTTATGTATTCGTGTTGGCCACGATTAAATTGAACGAACCGTATTGTAAGCAATGAATGAATTCTCACGATTCCTTCAATGAACGAGTCACATTTTGATTTGATTCAACTCTAAAGACTCTTTTTTAAGACGTTCGTTGTCGTTCAAATATTATGGATCCATGCCGGCCACGATTCAATTGAACGAACCGTATTCCAAACGGTGAATCGAATATAATGATTCATTTATAATACTCGTTCAAATGAACGACTCGTTCAATCTTTACCTACCTCTAGTAGGGGATGCTCTGTAAAAGCTTGGACATGTCGATTTGTATGTTTAGTTGCGTATTTTTCCAATATTTTTTTTATAACTACTGTTCTTAAATAATTTATTGTTTTTAAATAATTCGTCACTACAAATACCAACTCTTTTATTTTAAATGATATATGCTGTATATTATTTAGTTTTTTGGAATCTTCATAAAAATCTGAAAAAATCAGGCGTCATACCTCCTGAGACGATTAACGCTTTTATCGGCTAGGCAAATTTGCTTTGCGACTAAGGTGCGATTCACATTATAACGTTATAATAATTCCTTAAACTGTGCTATAACGTACCGTCAACGTCACGTCGAGCCACCGTCTCTACGAAAAACATGAAGTAAATTGGAGATGAGCGTTACGGGCAGTGCACAGGTAGTGTGAATATGTTCAATGTTGGCAATTTAAGAATATTTTACCGCGACGGACGTTTTTATTTGATGGTATGGCGTGAAAATGGCGGTACGTTGTAGTGTGAATCACGCATAAAATGCAACTGACAAATTAGTTTCCGTTTGAACTCTACGCAGTGGTTTTAGAAAAACTAACTTTAATTTTTTAATTCCTCTTTCAGTAGCGAAATACTCAGGCTTATGAAATCAACGGGCCATAAAGGTGACCTAGATCTTTTGGAATTTTCTTTAACGTTTGGGGATACCCTGAATGAAGATCAACAGTTTTATTTACACTTGTTGATGGATCTCTTGTTGATTGTATAGCGGTGGCATATTTAGAAATTATCAATTCAAAATCAACTATTTTTAAATATTACAATAATGAAAAAAAGTTATTATAAGATCGGTTAAAAAACGAATTGTTCCTTATTAAAGTGCAAAACGCTGTTTACCGTGCCATCATTTTTAATACAAATAAACACTGAGTCAGTAATCATCTATCCTCAACAAATTCGCTACCTTATATGCTAATTCCATCAAGATCTATTGTTTGCCTAAGGATCATTTAAATATTACCTACTAAAAATTAGATATCGCAGACTAAATCTATACACAAGATAATTTTCTTCATAATTGCATTTTCTGGAATACTGATAAAATATATTGGTCTCTGACAAATCAGTAAAATCTCAAAAAAGTAATCTTAAAAGGCAATTCGTAGGCAAAGATAGTATTAGAAGTTCTGTAATTTTTTTAGTGTTCAAAAACTATACATTTTACAGAATAGCCTAAATAAGACAGACTCAACAGTTTTATTTACACTTGTTGATGGATCTCTTGTTGATTGCGTAGCTGTGGCTTACTCACAAATGATCAAACTAATATCGTCTCTTTTAATACTTTAAATGGTAAAGAAAATTGACATCTGCTAATTACAGTAATGGTATAGATGTGTCCACTATCAAATTAGCGATTCTGATTACCACATCAAATAGTTTTGATACAAACAAACATAGAGCCAGTAATAACCCACCCTTAACGAACCCGTGCACTATCTCACATGCTAATTCCGTCAAGATCCAATAGTCCCTGTTTTTTGCCCTCCCCCCACTAAAACCAACCCCTTTCGTTCGTACTTATCAAGAAGCAACCAGTGCCACACAACGTTCTCCCCCCTTCGGGTCCCAACGACGACGCGGCGCAACAGAGCGCTCGCCAACTTTTACCCCCCTCGCGCTCTACAACCCTCCCCCCGGCACCCCACTGCCCCGCCGGACCTTATATATAAAACGCGCGGTCGGCTAGGGCGCACAACCAAACACGAGGGGTTGATGCAGCTTTAGTTTAGTTCTGTCTTCGGTTTCCACTGTTCTCTACACGCTATCCTTACTGCTGTCTACTCCTCTCTTAAAACTTGAAACAACTAACAAACTCGACTCGCACATTCACAAAAAAGAAAAAAAAACATCACGTAAAATTTAAAAGTTTCCTTTCCGTTTCCTCTTTTCAAGAAAAAAAATTCACGCGCGAAAAAAAAAATAAATGTCCGGTTGCGGGTCAGTTCCAGTTAGTGCGTGACGTCAGAGCGGGTCAGTGCCTAAATTACTCTGTTATGTCCGAACATGCCCCGGTGTCTGATGGCGAAGAAATGGAAGTCGTACCCGTGGACGGAGCGGACGCAGGATATGGTCAAGGATCAGCAGGAAGAGGAAGAAGAGATCATAGACGTGGTGGGGGACTCGCAGGGGGCCTGTTGGGGGCCCTCTAGTCCAACGGAGGGGGCCACGGCGCCTAGTCCGCCGCCGGGGAGTCCCAGCGGGACTACCATACTTTATAATGGTGAGTATTGCTTTTCTAATAAATAATTATAAAGATTTACGTTATAAGTCCGATAAATCAACTTTTACTGTATGAATGGGATGTTTATTTTTTCAGGATTATAAGACAAATACTGTAATAGTTAATTGCGGACGAATGACGTACAACGTTTTATTTCAAACTATTTGGATAAAACCTATGTTTTTAAATAACTGAAGTATTTATTACGTTTTGAGTGATATTGTATTTACTGGTGGAAACATTGTCATTACTGACATAAAATTCAAATATTGTGCAAAATGCTTTGGAATATCCAACGAATGCAAGTTATCCAGCAACAGTTACTTAAAACTCAGTGCTTTTAAAGGAATTTAATTATTTTAACAAATTTGATAAAATGGAGTTGATACTGAATATCTGATTCCCAAAAAAGTTATGAAGAAATCTAACGAGGCTACAGGGCAGTTCAAACAAAAAAAAAATCTGCAGGACAATAATCCGGTAAAAAAATTACCCGACTTAGGTATTACTGTAAAATATTTTTTCCGGACTGAAATCAAGCATGTATAGGAGTGTTTAGGATACAGTATGAAATAAATAAATACTAAATAATGTCCGCATCTTTGTAGGTCATTATTATACAATCTGTGTATACTGTCACTAAAATTAAAAAATTTCAAAAGTAATGAAATGCCTCTGGGTTCCGAATCCATGTCCATAAATTTCTTTTAGGTCTTTATCCGTAGAAAAATATACCCAATCAACAAAAATAGTTTTAATATTTCAAGGGGTATATTTCCTTCCTTATCGAAAGTAATAGAAGAAATAGAACTATTAAAATCATGTAAATTTACGGGTATACAGAATACTAGAATACTATTGGTTCTTTGATATATCTATTTAATTTTTTATTTTCATTTTGATTTTTCAAATATAATATCTGAAATAATAACTCAAATGGCAATATACCTAAATTTTGAAAGAAAAACTTTTATTTTTGGAGCTTATTATCAGATTATGAGGCAAAATTATAATATGATTTATTATAAAATTATAATAATAATAAGATACTAACCTATTGTGGATCAAAAGTGGTCAAAAATTTTCTTTTAATTTTAAGGCTGTATTTTTAATGATTATTGTTAAAATATGTTACATTTCCTTCAGTGGTAAAAGTCTTAGATTAACAAAAAGAATGTTCATCCAATTAAAAAAATTTGAAAAGACCAGAAACAAAAAATACAGAAAATATAATTTACCTGCGAATTAAAAAGACAAGCCAGAATTATCACTGTCATGTATTGTAAAGTTGGACAAACTTGATTAACTAATATTTTTATTTTCTTATAAAACGTAATTTTTAGTACCTAGTACTAGTCATTATTGTATTAAATGCGCAAAATGTGTATTTCTTAATGGGATGTTAAAATTTTTATTTCTGCTATTCGAGCAAAATTCATTTAAGTATTACTTATTGAAAATTAGACCATTAAACACTAAATTTCATCACAAGATACACTTTTGTACAAAGTATATTTATTTGACATTAATAATGCCACCACCTGGCATTGGGAATTTATAAAAGATGGTAAGTTTTCCGAATCGTAAACGTCCGATTTTTTTGCAATTGGTGATCAAAATATATCAGAAAATGTTAATTCTGTTAATTCTAGATATTTAAAAATAATTCTAAATACTCTCGAAGAAAAAATAATGGACTATATGACTTAATATTTTTACTGGTGAAAAATAAGTACTGTACATTAATAAGAATATTCCTGAAGATAACAAAAGAATAACATTAACTGATAATAAGTATATATCACAGCCTTTTCTTATAGTCACAAACACCGTTACCACTATATCCGTTGGAAGGATATAGTGGTAACAATGAAATATGATTAGTTAAAACCCATTATATCGATAAAACAAAAATTTACGATCAAAATGTTTTAATAGTCTGCTAATAAGATGGTTCTATCATCGTCACTCTTTTATTGGTCTTTTACATCCAAATGTCACGCTATTTGATAGGGAAAAGAAGAACTGTAAAAACTGAAATATGAACAATAAATTTTTAGAATTAAATGAAAAGCCATACATTTATAAATATTAAATTTTATAAAATAATACTATCTAAATAAATAAATCAAAGTTGATTTAGTTACACCATAATATATATATATAGCTCACAAAGCTGGAACTATTTTAATGGTATCTGATTTTTTAGATTGTTTTCCGCCCCCCAATAGCAGAATAACAACATAATAAAGAATAATGTTTAAATAAATTGGGTTTGGAACAAATTATTGACATCTAGACATTATAGAAAATAAATTTACAGGAAAATACCTAGAAAGGTATTGAAATATATAGAAAATACCTGTTTGAATTGTAAAAAAATATAGAGAACAAATAACTGTAAAATGGATTGGCCTCTGATTCGGCCAATTAGTCGTCCGTACCACAAGACAAATAAAACTTTGACTTTATTACTAGGCGTGTAAACGTAGTTGTTGAAAGTTTGATAAAATTATGCTAATTAATTTCTAATTCTTTGGCTTAAAAGAAGTCAACTATATTCAAAACATTTCGTCCGATATAACTCGTTGTTAAGTTTAAAAGTTCTAAATTTAATTTGATCTACTGCGCTATAAAATATTGACACCTGTAGTGTGCTGCAAGCTACAGGTGAAATATGTTGATATTTTCGTCTCCTTGCAAGATGAAAATTAAACTCTTTCAGGGTAATATAGGGCAGAGGAGCCAGGGTGACTCTGTGACGCTAAGGAATATCTTTAAGAATGGGATAAGTCGATGGGGAAACTATGGTTTGATAATAAAATATAAATTAATAATCTACAATTTTTTTGTATTAATAGATAAATATGGCTCCAATTTCTTAAATTCTATGAAGCTAATTAATCAAATTTTTAACACTAACGGTTCCAACCTCCAACCCTCAACTGTAATATTAGATATCAATATCAAAAGAAGTCATTTTAAAAAATAGTGACCTTCTGATATACTTATTTAGAAATTTATTTTATTGCTTTGATTTATGCATAAAAAGTTTCTGTGACATTTGCCGAATCCGTGCCGCCTCTCTTTATAACTATACAAAATCAATACGGAGAAATATTACTAAAGTGAAAACTTTTATATATTTTTATAGATCCTGTACCGATGAGTTTCAATCTTAAGTTATGGCAAACATTTACAGAAACTATTATATCGTGTCTCTTGATACGGAAAGACTACGCTGCTTCTCTTCCGCTTTTGCGTTTTATGTCGGTTTTATATTACTTTCGGGTGCTTTTAGATTTTATAACTTTGTGCGTATTTCGCTCTTTTTTCTCTTATCTTTTTATATCATAATACGCCTGATTTTTATATGAAAACAAAAATATATATAGTTTTAGTACAGTTGCGAAATTTTATTGGAAAAAGTTTTTACATCAAATTAATTCACACTCATAATAATGTTAATTGATCTCTGATTTAACTGTATATATTTTTCAATCACCTATAACAAAAAAGAGTTCATACAGTAAATAAAATATGTTATGGACTTGTAAGTTTAATATTGATATTAATTACGTTTTATAACTAAAATGAAACGAAATATAAATCTAACATGTCCCCATGACAACATTGATAAAACCTGAAATACACGTGACCCATAATACAAAGTGACTTATTGACTTAGAACAAACTTGTATACAATAATTTCAAGAGGCGTCGAAGCTAACACAGCTATTATTAAATTATCTTTACAAGTCATCCTAGAATTGCCTTATGAATAGATTACTTGTTGCTGCAAGCAAATCTAAAACTAGCTGTTGATCTTGCTCTTGCTCATAATACTCGAAATTTATTGGAAATAGCACTAATAAACAGTGATGTAATTTTGAAGGATAAATGGAAAATAGTGTTAGATATTTTGCTCTATAACCCGGAAATGAATAATATAAATATCAACACGTATTCTTGAATCTGGAGAAAATTTGCAATAATGCCAATTTTATAGCCCTATGGAACACTGAATTTGAACTTACATGAATTATTAGATAATTTTTAATTAAGATACGATTAACTCTGCTATAAATTTCCTTTCTTCTTATTCTTCTTTTTATAATAGGGGTCCTGTCAATTCTGTCAATTATTGTCCTCTTGTGATGTTGAGGTCCAGCTGTAATACAACGCTTTGGGGGCCTACCAACTGGGCATCTTGTCTCTGGCTTTTCTGTTTTAGCCCACTTGGCAATTAGATCTGAACCTATCATGTCTACGTAGTCTCTCCAACAGTGGTGCCTTGCTCTTACCCATCTGACAACGTCCTGAACTCCCAACTCTCTTAGCGTATCTGTGTTGCGTATTCTGTCGTTGTTATGTCGTATTCTATTTATTGTTCGTAATATTTTCAACCCTGTTGTTCTCATTTTCCTTTTTGTTTGTGATGTTTCTGCTCTTGTTTCAGCAGCGTAAGTCAGTATAGGTCTTTTACAGGTCTTATAAATTCGGGTCTTACTCTTTGTACACGTGTATTTATTTTTCCACATTATATCATCATCAGTTGATGCAGCCATTATCGCGGAGACAGAGGACGATATGCAGAGACAGCATCATAAATTCTATCAAGTAAACCGAGAATTAAATATGATTATCTCTACAGAAAAAACTAAATGCTTAGAAAACAAGACCTGCATCAGACCAATAATGACATATGGCATAGAAATCCGAGAGGAAACCAAAAGCATGTTAAGAGTCGCTGAAATGAAGAAGTTAAGAACCATAATGGGGAAAACTAGAAGAGACAGAATTAGAAACACAAATATCAGACAACAATGTGGAATACAGGACGTAGTGAGAGGGGGTAGGCGAAGAAAAAGACAATGGTTCGCACACGTAAAACGCATGGAAGAAAACAGACTACCACGCATAGCTCTTGAAGGGAAACCCTTAGGTAAAAGACAGCCAGGAAGACCTCCAAAAAAGATGGAAAAACAGTTGGCAGTCCA